TCAGGTAGGTAGGTGCCAGCACCTCAGCCAGTGGAGGAAGGAAGGCATTGGGCGGGCTCTTGCTCTTTCTTTGCCCATGCATGCAGATCCGGCCAGCACCAGCACCAGCGCCTGCCACTAGGTGACCACCACCGTCCACCGTCCACCGTCCACCGTTCCGTCCACTGCCCACCTGCCCATTCATCATTCATTGCCTGCAGCCAGACCTTCCGTCGCTTGTCGCTTCCTGCCTTCCTGCCTTCCATTGCCTCCCTCCCCTCCTCTGCCAACAGTCAGTCACAGTCTTTTTTTCCTCGTGAATGCCCGCCTAGGAGCAAACGTCGTCCTTCTCACCATCTTCATCTTTTCCACCTCATCCCACCTTTCGATGCAGACAAGTCCAGGACTGAACTGCCCCAGTCCGTCTTCGCTCTGCCCGCAATCTCTCGCCCCTGTCGACTGATTCACGGAGTTTACCCGGGACAGCGCGCTGACGGAAATTCCACGACCGATACGACGCCGCGCCGACTCAGGAGAGCGAGAGAGCACCTCACACTTCAATCCGCTCTCTCCTCGCCATCTTTCCGCACTAATTGCCTCCTGTTGGCTTTTCGTCCGACTCCATCCTCGACCGTCGTCGGCCACCTGGAATCGTCATCCGCAACTGCCGCTCGATTTTTTTCCCATTTTCACGACTCATACGCCTAGTCTCGACATTCTTTCCTTCTTATCCTTCACTCTCGCCTCTCCGTTTCCTCCATCTTGACTCTGCTTGTCTGACCCTGACCCCCAATCGGCCCCTCCACGAACGTCAGGACGAACGCCCCATCCCACATCCCTCCCAAAACCTTCGTTTCACCTTTCTTCATTGAGCCGTCGGTTGTATCGCAAACACGACTTTGTTCATTCAGCGGTCATACCCTGCCTCATCGAAACTCTGCCCCGAGCTTTCATCGCAGCGAATTTTTTTTCACTTCCCGATGAGCATTTTCGGCGATTGAATTCGACGCCGCTTATTTGACCTGAAAACCTGCAGCGACGCCCAACCTGCCTGCGTCGGCTCCTCTCAATCAACTGCCAAATTTCCACCAACGTCTCATTCGTCACTTTTGTCGGACGAGTTCCGCTTGCATTGGACCCGCAAGCTGACTAACCAATTCAACGTCATTCCAACTTCATACCAGTGACTGCGCCAGGCCTTCACGATGGCGCATCGCGACATGGTTGGTTTATCTTCTCTTTTTGCAATGAATCTGCAGTTTATTGACCTGGCTACAGGATGTCGTCATGCCTTGGGAGTGTCGTGATGTGGAGGACCAGGCCGAAGCTCACTTCAATGCACCCCTGCGCAGCAAGAACAAGGCACTTACAGACGAGAATGCCAGGCTCAAGAAGCTGCTTCGCGAGAACGGAATCTCCTGGTCGCCCGTTTCAGCCAACTACCAGAAGCATCACCGCCCCAACGGTCGGCGCACCCGGTCTTCCATCTGCTCCGAGTCTCACGCGTATCCATACCTGCCGACCGAAGTGCTGCTGCGAATTCTGAAGTACTCCTTGACGTCTAACAGCCCCATCATTGATCCCTTGTCCAAGCTCAAGCCCGAGAACCTCACTGCTGTGGAGCGCACCCGCGACAATCAAATCGCCATTCACTTTTTGGCTACCTGTAAGGCCATGTACGAGGAGGGAAGCCGCATTCTGTGGAACCAAAACAGCTTTGTCTTCACCAACCCCGATGCAGTCCGCAACTTCGCAGACCTCGACTTCGCCTACCGCAAGAACGTGAAGCACGTCAATTTCCGCATCATAGCACAGTACTTTGACGACAAGAGGCGGAAGCACAAGCTCGACCGGTCCTACCATCCGTCTCTCAAGAATGACGTAACTCTTCGGACTATTCCCCGTGTCAACGAGCACACCTACGCCCGTGCCGGCTTCCGCTGCTACACATGGGGCCAGGTGACAGATTTCCTGCGTGCCCTTCGCGCCCCGTACGACCCTAAGCACGACAAGAAGCTTGTTCGACCTCGGCTGTTCCCCAACCTCGAATCGCTCCGCATCGACCTCGTCAACTTCATGGACGACTTTCTGCCAATGCCTGGTAGCGACCTTCACGACATGGCGTCGCATGAGCTGGGATGCTCGCTCAACGAGTTGCAGGTGACTGGATTGCCGATAGATGACGCGGGCAGCAAGGCGACAGCGGAGCTTACGGGACTGCTCAGAGACGAGGGCCTTTTCTTGGCTGGCTTGCCTTCCTTCGTCCAGCTAAAGAACAACTTGAAGGCCCTCTCTGGCATCTCCAGCTGCGCGCGTGTTGTGAGGGCTTGGAAGACGCTGAAGCCCAAGAAGACCGAAGGAGACGCTGACGATCACGACTCGGACTCGGACTTGGACTTTGACGACCACCATCACCCCCGTGAGCCCATCATGCCTCCTGCGCCACGGGAAACGGGTCACCCAAAGTCAACTCCGAGCCGCAAGGATCTCACGATCTGGAAGCGAGTCCCTAAGACTAGAGACGGAGACGAGCGCCAGTGGACTGAGTTCTGTCGTAGCAGCGGCTACCCCATGGAGGATGTCGAGGAGTACATGAGTGACGACGAGCTCGGTGTCTGCCCTTGCTGCGGAGAGCCCCATCCTAGTTTGTTGGAGCTTCTCGAGATGGAGGGCGACGATGATGACGAGCTTTGAAAGATTAGGTGAAAAAGGGGGCGTTGTATCTGATCTCGACCGGGGCGAACACTTGCACATCATGGCACGGAGTAACATGGACTGATTGGCTTTGGAAGAACTATGACTATGAATTTCAGCAGGTAGGTCACGGTTCTCGGAAGGAAAAGCTCACGGAGTTGTGTTGCTCAGGTCATGAGATTATGATACCACATTCTGCTAGGAGCACATAGATACCACTTGTAATGAAACCCAGAGGTTACCTCTGTACGCATCGAATCAACCTGTCGTTCATTTCCTAAACAATGTCAGCTTCCTTCATCTGCTGAGAACTTACCTATACTTTCGCGGACTACCCAGCAGTCGCCTCTTTTCCCGTGTCTCAGTCTCCAAGTCCTCCAACTTATCCAGCAGCTTGTCGATATCTGTTTGAGCTTCAGAGAACACATCCCGGAGCTTGAACAAATCCCAGTCCGAGCAGACTTCATACTTGTCAACCTCCAACAGCTTCCTCCTCCGCCTCCGGTATCCATCAACCCGCGGCGCATACAGATCAAGAAAGCCCGCGCCGGCATCCACGCCGCCCCATCGCCCCCTCTCACGCCGCTTCGCATCCTCAATGTCGCGGTTAACGTCGTGGACGCGTCTCTCTACTTCGATCAGATGCGCCTGTAATCCCTCTATATCCTGGCACGTCGCGGCGATCAAGGCGCGAAGTTTCCACGGGTCCCATTCCGCGTCGATGTCGGCCTGCGCGACGCGGAGGGGCTGATGGGGTGGCCGCGGGAGCGCGGCGGGGGTGAAGTAAGTGTCCCACTCGCGGGCGAGGTCGGTGGGCGAGAGGAGGGGCTGGGCGGACTCGTAGTCGGAGAGGAGGCGGTGGAGGCGTAGGATGAAGGGGGTGAGGGCGATGGAGGGACCGGTGAGAGAGTGGTAGGTTGCGACGCCGGCGGTGGGGAAGGGGGAGGGAGGCGGGATGGAGGGGGAGGTGCGACGGAGCCGGGGGGGATGGCGGACCATGGGTGGGTTTGGGGGGTTGGCGGTAGGTTTGTGGATGGGGGTTTGGTGTTGAGATGCTGGGGGGATTGAGAAGAGGTGTTGGGGTGGGAGTGTTTTTGAGTTGGATGTGATGATGGTTCGTGGTGTTTGGTTCTTCACAGCGGAGAAGTTCAGGCTAGACGAGGGAACAAGGATGCTGGAGAGACTGGGTTATTTGTTCAATGTGTCGTGAGCAATTTATGTTGGTGATCTTTGTGGTAAAGCATTGTGTTCATACAAAGTCATTGTGCGAGGAGGACCACCAGTGACTTTTTGACTATGGCGAGATTCGTTGGAGGCAGAAGTATGATTCAATATACTTATTACTCCCCGAACATCGCATGTATCTCCCCATATTTGATCACACTGAGGAATATAATATTGCCTTCCTGTTCATCTTATGTGGATGTACAATCACAGGGGGCAAGTAGTCTTGCAATATTGGCCATAAGGGCTAAACCATGAACAGTCCATGACAGATGCTGACTATAAATGAATTAGCCTTGCTGATTAGTGTCTCTTGCTGTTTTAATGCCGTTCAATAATTTGTTTTCATAAGACTGTCAGCATTTTGGGAGTGGTAAGCTTCTTTCCATCCAAAGAAAATGTCAACTCTCAAAGACCGCAGGTCGAGCCGGCTGTTGACGACCCTGAGCCACAATGAAAATTGTAATAGGATTGAAGTGGTTCTTACTGCTGTGACAATCTTTAACATCCTCCTTTGACTGCATGCGAAAACAACACAGTTGTTTGTTACCTCAATCCATCACTTCGAGTCAATCAGTCGCCGACGTATCGGACAACTGCATCGTTTGACATTCTGCGACATTCCAACATCACGCATCTACCGCAGAACAGATTTGCAGGGATCACGGAAGCGTCGCCTGTCCACAACGGCTGCAGGGCCATGTCCCCCCGGTGCAGAAGTCACCTCATCGCCCGGGGTATGGCCAATAAGACGCAACGCCGAGCGACATGCCCACATCCCACAGGCCCAATTCCCCAATCACATCAAAGTGGGCTGCTTTGGGCGCCGCAGTTCCAGCGACGGCCGGCAGAACCAACCGCCTTCCATCACAAATTAGTTGTTGGTTCGTGTAGGCTGTGAGCGGGGTTAACGACTGGGGTCTGTTGTGTTTCGTGGTATTTAGGCGCGAGGGCCCCGGTTGGAGCGAGACGATGGGTTCTCGTTACTTTTCTGCCTCGTTTGTCAGTTTGCGAGTTGGGGTTCTTGCACCCAGCGAAGACTGGATTCTCGACTGGAACAAATTCAGCGATTCGCAATTCTCACTCGACGACAGTGCGCGACGATGCAGGACCCGCACGATGCAGTTGTTGTAGGACATCAATCCGGGCTCCATGGCACTCTTACTTGGCGCGTCTTTGCTGATTCTGTTATTGCTATTACCAGCCCGCTGATGCGGATAACGCGTCCGACCTGGGAGATGTACGCCAAAGTCTCTTTATGCATCTCTTTGTAGAAGCGCGTAAAGAATCAGCCGTTGACAGCTACGTAGGGATATGAGTCGTCGACCTTGACTTCTCTGAGGTCCAGCATCTTGGAGAATCAGCTGGAGAACGGGAGGACGTACCACTCTCTCAGCGCTGGAAGTACGTTGTACTAGCTCCTCCGAATCTGAGATTTTGCGTTGACATGAGCCTAGAGTACAACTATCCCAATGACGATGTGAGACTTCATTCTCTTTGGTTGTCGTACGGTATTGCTGACTAGTGGATGATATGAAGAGAGAGAACGACCGATTGGGTGAGTGCTGTGCCACGAGACTCAAAGGCTTTTACTCGGCGTGTCTGACTAGCTCGTCAATTGCCAACAGACCTCCAACATCGTATATGGATCATTTGTTTCGATGGCGACCTAGCCCTTAACCCGGGCCATAAGACCGCAAAACGAGTCCTTGACATCGGCACCGGGACAGGTCTGTGGGCCATCGACTATGGTGAGCAAATAAAGACGAAGACGTCGCATCCATGAGGTCCGTTTGGAAGATAGCTTATAGTAAACTGTGAATAGCGGACGCGTTTCCCTCCGCCGAGGTACAGCAAAATCTACTTTCCCCATGACTCTAACGACCTTTCACTGACGGATACCTTACAGGTGATTGGAGTCGACCTCAGCCCGATCCAACCAGGATGGTATCACACAATTTCTTGTTTCTCAACAGTGTGAGACTGACCTGTATCTGAAGGACTCCGCCCAATTGCTCATTTGAAATCGACGATCTCGAAAAGCCGTGGACTTGGACGAAGCCGTTTGACTTTATTATGTGCCGCGGCATGGCGGGCTGCTTTGCAGACGTACCTGCCATGATCAGAAAGTTCTACGAGTACGTTTGTCTCTTTTGCGTCTTGCGTTTTCTAGTAACTTCCCAAATTCGTTCCACGGGTTGCCAATTCACCCTATCGGAGAAGCCGACAGCTGACAACCCCCCTCTGTCCACCAGCAACCTCACTCCAGGCGGCTGGTTCGAGATAGACGACCTCGCGCTCCCCCTCGGCTGCGACGACGGCACGCTGACCAAAGACTCGGCCCTCTGGCGCTGGCACGACGCCGTGTCCCAGGCCTCGGAGAAACTGGGCCGGCCCCTGGTGAGCATGTCGACTCACCTGGACGCCATCAAAGCCGCGGGCTTTGTGGATGTCGAGTTCAGGGAGTTCAAGTGGCCTTTGAACTCGTGGCCTAAAGACGCGCGTCTGAAAGAGCTCGGCAGCTGGCAGTGCAACAACCTGGACATGGGCCTCGAGGGTCTCTCTCTGGCGCTGCTGACGCGGGCCCTGGACTGGAGCCAGGAGGAGGTTCTCGCGCTGTGCGCGTTGGCGCGGAAGGATCTGCGCAATCGCAGTATTCACGCGTACTGGAGGGTGTGAGTACAAATGAGGTATTGAAATAGCGGCATCGGTAGCTGACACTTAGTGCAGGCATTGCGTTTACGCTAAGAAGCCTCATGATGAGAAGGAGGCATAGCTGGGGTTGCGGTTCCTTTGAATAGACTTGCGCTCAATTGAGTGTGGAGGAAGGTATTGTGCATCAGCTTCACAAGTCGCAATCTGTTTCCGCGTTTTGTCGTCGATGGGGTATCATAGTGAAGAGAACATGGCCGTTCTGCATGGTAATAGATATCGTCCTCGGCAAGCGTATGGGCTGCTCGGCTTCGGTTGTCCTGACCGAAGAAGGTTCTGCCGGAATCTTGTAGTCACAACCAACACGGCTCCGCTCAGCACCACATTCAAAGGGCTATATTCAAGCCTTCCAACGAAATGATCTCTGTGACGTCTCCGCTTTAAGTTGAAGCCAGAGGGGTACAATGGCCGGAACGTGGATGCAGCTGCAAGCTCATGCAGCAGTCACCTCGCAAACCAGAAACATCTGCAGCCGTGGGGCAATATGGAATATGTGTCCAATCATGACCAGTATTGATCCTGCAGTCTGCTGAAGCGAGCCAATCAAAGTCGAAGGAGGGTTATCCTGGGATCCGACGCGAGAATATGAGCCAACGGGACTTTGGTCCCCTCCTCATGTTTGCTCGTTGGTGGCTTGTTGGGGGGTTCACCCAAACAAAGCGGTGTGTTGGACGCGAAGACCGTGACAGTCGCCCAGCGGTCTTAAAATGCTTCTCTCCACTTCTTAACCGACGATCGGGATTCAACTTTGGCCACTCTCCCGGGCAACATGCTGCCACAGAAACAGCACCTGAAAGCCTCAAACGAAAGAATTACCAATGGGGGATTTTAATGACGCGCAAACGGTGCGAATTCGTGTCTTCCACTCTTATGTTTGCCGATTTATTGACCCCGCGACAACTTAGCCCGCTGAGGTGGACCCCTCGTCCGACTATGAGGAGGTAATGACAGCCCCAGGCCCAGAGGGATCAGATCTAGAAACAGGCCTGAAACAAACGTCTAGGAGTGTTTGCTTGGGGGCTATTACACACAATCCATTGGAGAGATTGCTGACTTCGATCCCAGAGCCTCGAGAGATCGACACTGAAGTCCCTCAGATCGAGTATACGGGAGCACCAGAGGGAGAATGGCAGAACTTACCATTCTTACTGTGCGGGCAGTATGATGGCTCACCGAGCATGGATTCTCTGATGAGAAAACTGAGCTAACGGAAACGATAGAGTACAATTATCCAAACGATGATGTAAGTTATTGATGACGTCGGATATCTATAACAGTCGACTGCACATGGTAACTACGAGAGCTTTCAGACAGAAAACGAGCGTTTAGGTAAGACAAGACGAGATCAAACGCAGTGTTACTAGGTTCAGTTGCTAAAGGGGTGAACCTCGGATGACTTAGATTTGCAGCATCACATATGGTTGCTGTGCCTGGACGACAACTTGGCATTAAATCCCGGACACAGGGGTGCCAGACGCGTTCTTGACATTGGCACCGGTACTGGAATCTGGGCTATCGACTTCGGTTTGTTCCGCGCCTGGGATTTTAAAGTTCAAAATAACGCGGAAGAATGCTGATTCACTTTGGCACATTAGCGGACGAATTCCCTTCGGCAGAAGTAAGATATCATTATCACTGTGCGGCTTCCGAGCGTCTGGACTTACAATGTTTCCTAGGTAATTGGAGTCGACCTAAGCCCGATACAACCCGAATGGTACGCAAGACAAACCACCTGGCTATTTTTGGAATTTTGTAGGCATGGACGCTTAATCTATGGCTCCAGGATCCCGACAAACTGCAAGTTTGAAATAGACGATCTCGAGAAGGACTGGCAATTCAACCGGCCATTCGACTTTATCATGTGCCGAGGGATGGCGGGTTCTTTTTCCGACGTACCGGCAATGATTCAGAAGATATACGAGTACTACCTTTGCCGTTACCTGCACAGTTTCCTTCAAAGAGAATAACCAGTCAAACCAAGTTTGAGCTGACTTGCCCGCTGCCTAAACAGTAACCTCATCCCTGGCGGCTGGTTCGAGCTCGGCGACCTTTCGCTTCCTTTGGGCTGCCATGACGGCACTCTTAGGCAGGATTCTGCCATCGCCAGATGGCATGATGCCCTTTATCAGGCTTCCGATTACCTCGGACGTCCAATTATCAGCTTGTCTAGCTATTCAGACGTTATACACAAGGTGGGGTTCGTGGACGTCACTTGCAAGGCGTTTTCCTGGCCCATTAATGGGTGGCCGGCGGACTTGAGGCTCAAAGAGATTGGAATGAACCATTGCGTGAACCTGGAAATGGGGCTAGAGGGATTGTCATTGGCACTTCTCACTAGAGGCATGGGATGGAACGAGCAGAATGTGCGTCAGCTTTGCGATGAAGCGAGGGTTGACATTCGAGACAGGAGAATTCACGCGTTTTGGCCCATGTAGGTTCATGGAATCGCCGCTTTTGATAGTAGGTGCTGACAGCTAAACCAGACACTGTGTCTATGCCAGAAAGCCCTAGCAGGGTTCACGATTGTCTAAACATGGAGGGGAACAACACTCGGACGGTTCGAGAAGACTATATACCTGCCGGATTACCAACTTGTCTTCATATCTGAGTATTTGCATGCTTAGAATTTGACTGAGCCTATTCTGTGATTGAAAGTTTGTCGCTTGCTTCTTTCCATCCCGAATCGAGGAGATTTTGAAAAGTCGAGCTACGACCTCGACATCCGGACGGTTCCATCTTGTTGCGGTGAGCAATCAAGGAGCCTTGTATATTTTTCCGAAGTCCTATTTCCGACCGACCACGTCTTTCAACAAGACACCGGCGGCAAGCTTCCCAAGATTATTGGACGCAAGCGGCGAGTCGCCGGTGAGCAGGTACCGGTCCTGATGTGTCTGACCAGTGATTCCCTCATTTAACGTCTTGACCCCAAGCTTTCGCAGGCGATCGCCAACAAGCCATTCCATTTTGCCAGGAATGTATCCAATGTCGATGTTTGCACCCGAGTCAAGCGAATCGGGGAACACCACAATCTCGTAGCCGTCATATATGAACTTGCTTCCTGCAGGCTTGCCCACGTCTGCGGCAAGCATACTGGCCGGTCCGTGGCACAGAGTGATATAGTATCGCTCATTCTGATGGGCCCAGCGCAATATATTTCCGACCGTCGCTGAATCTGGAACACCATTCAAGACACCGTGGCCTCCGGGGATGAACACAGCGATGTAGGGCGTGTCCGCTGAGAAACCATTCCCCCACACCTCCTCGAGGTTGAGAGGGTTGCGAATCTTCTGCTTGTACTTCTCATAGATGCCCTTCACAGCTTCGTCCTCCTTGGGAAAAGCCCACATCTCGAATTTGACAGGGTCGCCGGAGATGGTGGCGATATCGATGTCAAAGCCAGCAGCGTCAAGATGAACCATGGGGAGCAGCATTTCGACAGGATGGTTGCCCGTCGAGAAGAACTCGCCGCCGGCCATCTTCAGGTACCGTTCCTGCGTGGCAATGAGGAGGACCTTCCATTTCCCCCCTTTGTATGCGTTGGGGTAGTTGGCGCCATCGAAGTCGGTCTTGGGAGCGGTGTATTGCGTCAAAGAGAAGGGAGAGGGGAACCAAGCGTCATCCTCGGCTTGGTCAGGGACAGGCTTGCGCTCGCTGGAGTTTGACATTGTGAGCGAATGACTTTCTGAGAAGAAGTGTAATTGAGAGCGAAATTTCGGTTCTATTTGGAAACAAAAATGTAATCAGGACGGACGCGAAGGTGGCTTTTTAAAGTGCCGGATGGCTCATGAGTTCGTGAGTCTTTTGGTGTGGGTACTGGACAAGTGAGGGGGATTTGCGTGGAACGCGCGGAAATCGATTATCATTAGTCCACTTCCCACACCAATGGTAAGTTTTCCCGGAAACGAAACTCTGGAAATGGAGTTTGACGCAGGCCAGTTGGCGTACCGCCGTATTTCACCAAGTCGACGGAATAGTGACGTCGTGAACCTTATTTTGAGGAGACTAATCGAAGACTCTAGTCCACATCCGGAAGATGTTTGACCTACGCCGTCACAACTATGTCTGCCAGTTAATGAAACACTTCAGCCTTTCGAGCGCTCTGAGGGAATCAAGTCTCCAACTAGAAACGCTGTATGTCTTTTTATAGTCTGCCCTTTTCTTTTCTCCCTTTCGGGATTAGGTTGTCAATGCCCGTGCTTATTTACGGGTGCCGCTCTTGAAGTATCCGTTCCCCACGAAGAACCCTTTGCGGCTCTTAACCATCACGACTTTGTCCAAGCATGTGCAGCGATTCTCAAAACTTGTAGAGCTTTTTGACCACACTACTTGCAAAAGTTTAGCATCATCCAAACTAGATGTATGTTTCCGTGCCTGTCCAATCGGTGTTCGGCATCGATTTCCGTCCAACCTCGCCGGCCTTGAGTGCATTAAGTCATGTGGAAAGCCTCAGATAATTTCGAAATTTTCCAACTCGTCTTCACTGGCGGACCACATCTCACCACCCATGGCACCTGCAAATACTGTCGGCCCGACGAGGGTATAGCTCCCGTAACCACCCTTGCGCGGCCGCAAGATAAAAGGATGACCCAAACCCGCGATGAGGCATACTGCGTCGCCCTCACGTACGCTAGTAACAGCAAACCCAGCTATCTGATCTGAGGTGAAGAACAGCCTTCCGACGCGAAGCGCGACTCTGCACTGGCTTCCAAAGTGTCGTGAGTCCCACTCAACTAACGACGACACGGCCGTCATACCCTGACCTGTCAACGAAGATGGCGTGGATGAAGACCATTCGGACTTTTTCGGGCCTTGGATAATCCACCACAGTAGTCGACAAAGGCTGCTGCTCATCTTGTATATTTGAGAATCCGGCTTGTTGAGACATGCCACATCATTCATGAAATTCCCTAGTATGTCAAGGTATGGGCTTTGGCAGTCGTGCTGGAACGTCTGTTCAGGCTCGCCCTCCGTTTCGTCCTTGGTCTTGTCGTCCAAGACGCACCCCGTGCCCTCCATGCACTTGCTGCTTGCGGGAAATATGTCGCTCACAAGACCCGTGACACGACCAACACGCACTCCCCGGAGATGAATACTCTTACCGTTTCTCGAAAACTCGAAAATCGGCTTGCTTCCTCCAGAGGCAGCGCAAAGGCTCTTGTAGTAGTACTTATGCGAGCCTCTCATCTCGGCGTCCTCTGTGGCGAAGTCAACAGTCCACGAGGGCAGCGTATCCCAAGGAACACCACCTGTTGTCTTCGCTCGATTCGCGAAGTACAGCACCCGCAGACTTTCTTCCTCTTCGACCATGAGTCTTGTAGCTTCATGAAAAACTTCCCCGATGGGTTGCTGGTAATTGACCCTCATTTTACCCAGAACGCCAGGCGAAAGGGCCCGCAACGCATAGATCTTGTCTCGTGGCTCCGAAGCCTTCATCGAAAGCACACGTCGCAGTTGATTCGTTGCCGCACGAAATGGGCGGTCTGTAGTACCCTGCCACTCGTACAGGTTCACATGCAAATCTAACCCTTGCTGAGTGGGCATGGTCTCGTCCTTGGAAGCAACCGCAAGGAGATGAGCGAGATTGGCGAAGAGGAGAAGATGCGAGTCGCAGCACAGTATCGCAGCAGTTTTGTGCGCGAATTCTTGCAGGGTCCAGACCCGTGTCCAATATGGCGCCAATCTGAGACGGTGTAAGGTGGTTTCGTCGCATACTATGTATTGGTCAGACAGGAAAAGAGATTTATCCTCAGAGTAGGCACGTTGATTTAAGAAAGAGATGGGTCATGATACTAGGTACCTTTCAGTGCCATCTTCGCCGCGCAGCGCTTAAGTCTTTGGCCATGATTGTGATCATATTCGATCCGAGGAAGCATCGATAATGGTTTGGAGACCGCCAGGCTGTTCCATCTTTTCGGCGCGTAGTTTTCGCCCAGCCAGACAATTACTCTCTTCGCGCGATCGTAGATTTCGGCCATCATGGCCACCTGGCTGCTACGTTCCTCGCTACTCGACTGGTCAATGCAAATCGCATCGACCCAAACATTAATCTGGCGATGTGTCTTGAATCTTCCCTTCATGGATCTCTGTAACAGACTCAGAGCCATCGCGCAGTTGGGAGTGATTAGTAGTCGAGTAGCTCCTGCTTTACGGGTATCAGTGAAGCCAGCGGATGTCTTATCAGCGAAGGGGTTTTGAATGATCAGTGGTTCGCTGGGTATCTCTCCGCCCCATGTATACGACAGAGCAAGGTAAGGTGGCGGGGCATCCACACTCGCCTCAATAAGGTCACAAGTAAGGTGCTGGGCGCGGCTGAGATTCGCATTTCGATGGAGCACCACCAGACGAATGGATCGCGGACTTGAAAGCCTTTGGTAACGGTAGACATCGCAACTCGTCATGATGAACAAAATTCTCTATCTGGTGCTGTAAGTGAGAAGAATGCCAATCATTTGCGGTTCTTGTTACAGTGAGTATGGACAGATCGGAGGGGGCCCGTTTCGTTAAGTACGTTTGCTAGTTTGTAATGCGGAATATTGGGGTCTGGTAACGTTAGTACCAGACCACCAGACAGCAGAAAAATGGCGTCATCTGACAGGATTGAAGCAAGGGATGGACTAGGAATGTTTGCAGCTTTTGGGGCCTGATCGCCAGACGTGCCGAGCAGATGCGGCCTTGGAGAACCTCATAGACATTAGCGGTCATGTCTCACCAGATGAGGCAAATAGAGGTAATGATAGAACTGATCCCAGAGTAGTGGGATCTACAAATAGGCAGCAACTCGAACTCTAGCCGCTACACAATCAGTGGTGCTATTTTGTGGCGTGTGACGTTGTCGACTGGGCTAAACGAATTTTATTATACAACACTCAATATGTGCTACTCAATATGTGCTAGACTTGAATTGTCGAGTGAAAGCATTTCAACTGACGCTTTTTACTGATCAAAGCAAGCAGCGCGGAGTTTCAGTCACATTCACGTTTGTCAACTTCTTTTCTATCTCTGCATGATTCTATGAAAACGTACAACAGGGAGCGTTCGAATTCGACACTGGCACAATCTAGATGCTGCACAAGTACAGCCACACATGAGTCGTAGGTCAATCGAGGACTATTGCGAAATAAATGATTCGAGGCTTGGACCGACACGAGCATCAGGGTTTAGTCAGGCATCATGTTAATTCAAACACAATGAACCAAATTTTATTCAAAAAGCAATAAAACTCACTGATTTTCGCACAGATTCCATTTATTTGTATCTAATGATCTACCTACTCATGGCGAGACTCAGCACTTTTGCTACGTGTACGAGGTGGTTGGCTTCTTGGGTTGTGTGCAGCAACCGTGGGCCCACTGAAGCGTCGTCTGCAAAGGACGACAGAATCCATTTGAGAGTAGTTTATCACACTGTCTGTTGACAATTAATCCAAAGATACAATTGAAACGTGAACTTATAGCTCAATAGCGCGTTTCTTCAATTGGCCCAACCAGCCAACGTCCCAGGTTGTCGACGCCGCACGCCGACAGCACCGCTAACCCGGATACTGTCATCTCAGCATGCACACATCACATGGAGCCCCATCTGCCAACAAAACATCATGCACGACAATGGAGCCGTCCAGAACCACCAACCCCATGCCAGACCTCCCCCGCGTCATTCGCCCGCATGGCGCCTTTCCTTTTCTGAAATGTCGCCGTGGGTGCATCATGCCATCTCGACAGCCATGCCTAGCACTTCATTGGCCAGCCATGCCAAGACCAAATGATTTCCATCCCACCGCCAGTTCAATATGCATCAAACCCCATGAGTACTCAACGTCAAGTCGACCGGGCCTTTCAATCCTGCTGCAGTCAATTCACACCCCGGTTCAAAAGTCAGGTAGACACTCAGCGACATTGATATTGCGGAAAACATAGGCTTTGGCCATGCATTCCACCCACCCTCCGGAATCGCAATCCGCATCCGGACTGGCCGCATCGCCGCAAACCCTCCGAGACACAACAAATGCCTCCACCAGGACCACGCCGTTCCCGCTTCAACCCACTTCCTTCCTTTCTTCTCCTCTCCTCCTCCGCCTCTTATTCTCTCGAAAACACCTCCCTGAGAGACTACTTTCTGAAGTCGCCCGATAACCTACACAATGTCCGCTCCAACACCAGACCCAACCCCGGCCCCGGTTCCCCCCGCCGCCCTCGAGGCCGACCCGGCCCCCACAACCGGGACCCCCGCCGCCGACCCGAACACCGACGACCCCGACACCTCCGACTCCGACTCCTCCCTCGGCGTCGAGCTCCAATCCTCCACCGCCTCCCTGCGCTCCTCCATCCTCCAATACCGCCACGAGAACGGACGCACCTACCACGCCTACAAAGACGGGGCCTACCTCATCCCCAACGACGAGACCGAGTCCGACCGCCTCGACCTGCAGCACCATCTCTTCCTGCTCACCCTCGACGAGCGCCTGCACCTCGCGCCCCTTGACCCCGCCAAGCCCCCGCAGCGCGTGCTCGACATCGGCACCGGCACCGGCATCTGGGCCGCCGACTTTGGCGACCTGCACCCGTCCGCGACCATCATCGGCGTCGATCTCTCGCCCATCCAGCCGGCCTTTGTGCCGCCGAACGTGCACTTCCAGATCGACGACATCGAGGAGGAGCCGTGGACATTCTCGCAGAAGTTCGACTTTGTGTACTCGCGCATGATGACCTCGGCGATTGCGGACTTTCCGAAAATGTTCCGCCAGTCGTACGAGAACCTGAACCCGGGCGGGTGGATCGAGGTCACGGACATCACGCCGATCACGTCGGACGACGGCACGCTGACGGAGGAGACGGCGCTGTGGCGGTGGAGCGACCAGCTGCTCAAGGGCACGCAGGCGGTGGGGCGGTCGTTTGACGGGGCGAAACTGTATAAGAAGCAGCTTGAGGAGGCGGGGTTTGTGAATGTGCGGGAGGTGGTGTTTAAGTGGCCGCAGAATAGGTGGCCTAGGGATCCGAGATACAAGGAGCTTGGTGAGTCGTTGATTGGAGAAGGTCCTTTTTACTGGTGCAAGTGACTGACTGTGTGCGTAGGTTTGTGGACACTCGAAAACATCACTTCGGGACTGGAGGCATTGAGCGTGGCGGTTTATACTCGCGTTCTTGGGTGGAGTAAGGAGAGCGTGGACGTTTTTCTGGCGGAGGTGAGGAAGGACATGAAGAACACGGCGATTCATTCGTACTGGCCCATGTGAGTGACCCCGTTTCAGTACATTTTGAGTGAGAGAACTTCGAATACTGACCCTGGTTGTAGTTATGTTGTTTATGGACAGAAGCCGGAGTGAGGACCGCATCAACGTTTGAGTCGCAAGGGGTAATCGTCGTTGTAGCCGGAAGCATAGTTCAGCATCTGAGGTGCATATCAATATCCAAAAAATTCCATTGGCATTAGCCTTACTACGCGACGCTACTTAAACCAATATCTCAAGTCTGGAGAGCTTGGCGTGCTGTGGCTACAAACTTCTATGCGCCGAATGAAGGTCCATTTCACGAACTGCGATCACGTTTGCACTAAGATGACTGCGTTGTCAAGGTCCACGTCATCCTGGAAAGTCTGCATGGGCTTCGGACCCAAGTTAAAACAAATTACAGGCAAGTCTCACATGTTACAAAAGTACCAACGTAGGTGTGTCAAGTATGTTTATACAGCTATGTATCCTCCAATATGTACAAGGAAATTACATCATTGAGTGACCCCACTAGTTCACTGCGTATCTCACCGGACACCTAGTAGACAGGCATCTTGAACGCATCAAAGGTGTACTTCCAGGTATCAATCGACGCCTGGTCATACACACAGCTGAACCCAGCGCCATTATCCGTCCACAGCGGGCGCTGCGGCCACCTGCACAGCTCCCCAATCCCCTCCCCGGTGCTGTTCAGCGTGTCCGGCGCAGCCCCCTTCTCAACCCAGTCAATCACCGTCTGCAGCGTCGTCTGCGGCCACCCACCGCCCGGCTGGTGCGAGTTCGCCCCGCAGTGCGCGCCGCCAGGCACCAGGTACAGCCGGTAGAACTCGTCCATCGCCGCGGAGCTCTCGTTGAAGCCCTGGCCGGGGAACATGATGCTGCGCACGGATTCGTAGTAGTGCACCGACGAGGCCGCGGGGATGGAGTCGTCCTGCTCGCCGTGGACGTGCAGGATCTTGCTGCCGGCGGTCTGGAACGCCGACAGGTCCGGGTGCGTCGTCTGCAGGGAGTCGGCGTACTTGTTCATGCCGTAGAGCATCCAGTCGCGGAGGGTGTCGGCAGTGACGTTGGTCAGAGACTCGAGGGTCGAGGTGTCGCGCAGCTGGAGGTAGCGCGCGACCCACTCCCCGCCGAGGCCGGAGATGCTCACGCCCCAGGTGTTGGTGGCGGAGTCGAACTTGGCGTTGGCGTCGGTGAAGGCGGAGCCGGGCTGGTAGTTGAGGTAGACGCGCTTGCCCTGCGAGTCGATGAGGCCGTCGTAGTACTGCTTGACGAGGGCGGCGCCCTGGGCGGAGACGGTGCCGTTCTGGGCGGGGGCCGGGTTGGAGGGCGGGCCCTGGCGCTTGGCGAGGTCGCCGAAGCCACCGGTGCCGCTGCCGGTGGTGGCTTCGCAGGAGTAGGCCTGGCCGACGGTGGTGTTGAAGTCGAAGGTCATCTTGCAGAGGTCGGAGCGGGCGACGACGCCGTCCGTCTTGCCGTCGAGGGGGTCGCAGGCGGCGATGGTGAGGTTGAGGATCTTCTCGAGCTCGCACGACGGCGGAAAGTAGTTGGCTGTGGTCTCCATGACGTTGGCGGTGAGGTGGTTGACCTGCTGCTGGCCGTAGCGGAAGGCGGGGGCGCCGGCGACGACGCCGTCGAACTGGTCGCCGAAGCGCTGGGCCTGGCTCCAGCCCTCGCGGCCGCCCTCGGAGCAGCCCTGGTAGTAGGAGTAGAGCTTTGTCTCGGCGGGGACGGCGAAGAAGTTGCGGGCGAACTGCTTGCCGAGGACGGCGAGTTCGTTGTGGGCCTGGTAGCCGAACATGTAGACGGACTGCCAGTTGATGGTGCCGTTGGCGGCGAGGAAGACGGCGTCCCACTGGGTGTTGAAGTCGCCGAAGCCGCCGTCGGTGATACCAGAGACGGCGCCGGCGATGATGCCGGTGGGGATGTACTGGGAGCCGGAGTTGATGGCGAGGCCGCCGCCGCCGGTGGAGACGTAGCGGTTCTGGAAGGCGTCCGGGGCGGGGACCCAGTAGGTTACGTGGACGACGTCGTTTGCGAGGCCGTCGTGGGAGTAGGCGAAGGTGACGTTGCAGTAGTCGATGGTGGCGGAAGGGTACCACTCCGAGGAGACGTTGGCGCCGGTGACGACGGCGGTCTGGACGGAGGCGGAGTCGATTGTGACGCCGGGGATGGTGCCCGCGGCGGGGAGGGCCTGCTGGGCGTGCTCTGTGGTGCAGACATCTTGCAGGGTTGCCGCGTAGACGACGGCCGGGGCAATGGCTGCCGCGAGGGCCCGAAGGGAGGAGGGCATGTTGGGCAGTGTGGCCTGGATCAGGTAGGGAGGTTGTCTGGCTACCAGAGGCAAGAGGAGGAGATGAAGTGAGAGGCTGAAGTCGAGAGATATTCAAGACGGTGGTGGTGGCAGAGGCGAGGCGTTTATATCTGTATGTCTCGACTCAACCGGCAGCCGTATACCGACCACCGGGAATTCCGAGGAGCTCGCCATGGCACTGGATATTTTTCCCCATTTCGATCGTCCCTTAAATCTCGGCGAATTCTGCACCCCAACTGACGCGCATTACGACGTCGGGACCCGAGTGCTGCGGCCGTGTGTCTGAATTCTCGGCACGCCGCTGTCTGGGAGGTGTTGAGCGATGCGGGCCAAGTGCGAGGTCTCTTTGCAGTGAACTTCCTTTGCAATGTGTTTGTGGAAGGTCGCGTTGGGGGCGGCGATCGGCTGGGTTTAATAGTCCTCGGGTTAGCCCCACTGTGGGCCCGGACCGAACGCGCGGGATCCAATTTAGCGCGAGTCGGACTGGCCCCACCCGCCCCCGCCCCGCCCCGTCGTCTCATCCCGGCCGACCGGGACCGTCTGGAGATGCGTCGAGGTGTCATCGCGTGTTTGTTACTGATGAGAATGTTTGGACGATTCATCATCGCCGTTTGACCGGCATGTCGGACGTTAAGATGCTGCGTAACGCTCGGCCGAGGGCTCGGGGTTGTTGGTGTCTTTGAGTGTAACAGTGTAGCATCGGGAGAAGCCCGGAGCAAAGGTCGCCAAGAAACAGCAAACATTCAGGAACGACCCGACGAGCGCCTTGTGGGGTCCGTTTACATCTCGCATCCCACCGGGCTGATCTAGATTTTAGACTTAAATCGACTATGGAGCTCCGGGGGGCCTTGCAAGTTGTGGCTCTGGGGTGCTTCTGCTGCTGCAACCAACATACGGTACCTGCATGCACGTCACCCGATTATGCACGTCTGATGCCTCTACTGCTACAATGACAATGGGGAATCTTTAAAAAACTAGAGTATCGCTAAGAAAACTACACGTACAAAGGCTTCGAACATCTCATACATGGCAGATCCGGCACCACCACCTGGCCAGGCTTCTGGTCCAGGAGGTACTCCGTCTGGTCGTGAACCACCCCATCCGCATCCTTCTTCAGGAAGTGCACCGTCCTCCGGTACGACGTCGTGCCGTCCTCGTTCTTGATCACGTCCAGCTCGTGCTCTATCGGCGCCCCGATCAATCTCTTCTCCTCCGGCGGGAACGACAGCTTCGCCATCGCCACGGGATTCCGCTCCAACACGCCGTCATCCAGCAGCACCCCGTGCTCGATCTCCGCGCCGCGCCGACCGACGCGGTACAACGTGCCGACATCCAACAGCGCCTCCTTCGGCGCGGGAATCTTCGTCATCAGGTCAATCGCCTCCAACCTCGTCTGCAAATCCCGGCACTTGATGGACACGAACCCCATCATCGACAGGAAGCCCTGCTCAAACGTGAAACTCGCCCTTGGCCGCTCGCTCGGGAACGCGACCTTCATCTCCGCCGCCTGCTTCCCCAGCGCCACGATCCGCCGGAAACTGTCCGCCCACTCGTCGTACCGCATCTCGCCCTCGCCGTCGATCGTGTTGACCTGTATCCGCGCCATCTCCGCCTTGATCTTCATCCCGCACAGCGCCATCTTCTTCGAGCTCTCCTGCGGCGGCACCGTCGCATCCAGCTCGCACACCTTGCCGTGGAACTCCTGCAGCCGCGTCTGCAGCGGCTGCTTGCCGCTCTCGTCGCCCTTCGCGAGCAGCTCGATCGCGTGCACCGTGATGTCGTCGATCGCGCTCTGCGCCTCCTCGACGCTATCGAAGCGCGGCGGCATCGGCGCCTCGAAGCCGATCAGCCCCGGCACGAGCGCGTCCTCAGAGGGCTTCGCGCCCAGGAAGAACGAGATGAAGCTCAGCCGCCGGAAGATGGGCATCACGTACTCGCGCGCCCACGACTGGCAGCCGACCTTATTCAGGATCAAAATGCCGTGCTTGCAGTGGCGCAGCGCGGCCTCGACGTCGCCCTGGAGGTACTCGACGCACACGAAGAGCACGCACACGAGCAGCATGAGCTGCTCGTCCTGGGTGCCTTTGATGCGCTCGATGGCGGCGCTGTAATGGCTGATGGCGAAGGCGTTGCCCTTCTTCTGGCGGGTGACGCGCTCGCCCTCGTGGAAGTCCTCGTACAGCGAGCTGATGGCGAGCACGGCGTGGCGGACGGCGGGCTCGAAGTGGGAGAACTGTACGACGAGGTGCGTCCAGAAGTACGAGTCCGTCGGGCCCGAGAGGACGGGCCCGACCATGTGCGAGAAGAACTGGAAGGCGCGGCCCTCACGCTGGTCGTGGGCCGTGAGCTGCTGCGGGCGGTACCAGGCGAGGCCGTGTTCGATGGTCGGCTCGTAGCCGGCGCACTGGCGGCCGGAGGATGTGCAGCGCACGCATTTCGGCTTGGCCTCGTCGCATTTCACCTTGCGGGCTCTGTGAGGGAGAAGGGCGCCTGGGTTAGTTTTCTTGGTCTTGCTTCCATTGCGGGCTTATGGGATCGTGATACGGGTGTGACGAGGTGATTATGTGAACAAGAAACAAAAGGAGGAGAGGGGGGTGTGAGAGGAAGAAGGAAGACATTGGCAGTAAAGTTCAGGTAAGGGAGCGGCGGCATCTTTCGAGGGGGAAACCCACTTGCATGTCCGGCAGCCCGTCTTGACCTTTGGACTGCCCTTCCGGGGCGGCATGATTTATCGGGGGTAGCGATATTGAGACGGGCGCCGTGTTGGATGAGGTTTCGCTTCCTTTAGGATGATTGATGTGCCTTGTTCCAGCGGTTCAACGACTGGAAACCGGCGCCGAGGCCCCCTCGAAGATCGTGGGAGAGTCTCCAGAGTGGGGCGAGACCGAAACGTTTTTTTTGGTGGCGGTCGGGGGAATGAATCAAATTTCTAATTGGCGTCACTCTCACCTCTCTGCTGTTATCAATTGACTATTGCTGTCGGGTTGCTGTAGACTCCCGAATTCCTTTACCGACAATCTCCTGATTGACCAAGACTGGGCAAGCCAGGTAGGGTTGTACGATGGGCTAGAAGCAAGAACACTTGGCGCCTTCAAGGGATTAGCCTTAGATGGAACAGCGAATCTGACAGGAAAGAGGGGCAAGAACGAGCTGCAACGGCCGGCGGGATGGGCAAAGGAGGAGAGAGAAGAGCACTCTGTCGTTGGGGGAGATTGAGTAAGAGGACAAGAAGGTTCGAAAATCCTGCCAGTTCAAGGGGGCGCAACGGAACAGACGGGGGCATGGTGCAAGTCTTATGTTTGTCTTTATGGGGCAAATGCGAGCTCGCTCAGCCAGTGAGACGCGTAAGAGCTTCCTGTTAAGGGGCGGGCGCGCATCGTGGCACCGTCGGCACTAGCCGGGGGGCCTATTAGCTATCCGTACTAAGGTATTTAGGTGGAGGATCAGATAGACAGATTCAGGTGCGGGGAGGGCTGCTGCAGATCCCTGCCGGGCTTCTTCTTTGAGACTTTTCTGACTTATCGCCGACCGAAACCGAAGGGCAGAACGGCCCCCTTTTCTTGGCCGCGCCGTACATACAGCGAGAACTATGGCCGGGCCGGGGCCACCAGTCGACGTCTGCTCGCCTCCTGAAGCGGAAGGTCGGATCATCGGACGAAGGTTTTACGGTTGTTCTGGTTCGGAGGAAGGCAGCCATTATTAAGCTTTAACCTACGCAGATTGGCCCGCCTTGTCTGCCCTGTCTGCCGGCTTGCCGGGATGTGGGTGTCGGGGATGCCGAGCCCCGGGGCCGGTGAGCAAGAAGCGGGGGACGCACTGCACGCGGTGCCTAGCGACTGCGACTTTCTGTTTCCTTCGATCGACCTTCCGATCTTGGTCATGGGTTTGAGTGAAATTTGACGACATTAAAAGGTGATTGTGACTGTGTACGTGGGTCCTTTGGCCTTACATGATGTCATGCCTGCCAACTGTGAATGTTGTGGGGGCCAGAACGCAGCATTTAAACGATGAAGGATTTATTCATTAATGTTGTTTGTGGGATAACCAAAAGTTCAAGTCTTTCCCATATACTCGGTCTCTTAATTGAATGATTTTGATAACACCATGACCAGGTCGGTTGCGTTTGCGGAGGCAAAGAGCTTTGGAAGCTGGACGGGAAGATTAAACGGGAACATGAAAATTCAGCTGGACCGACAGAATGAACCCATATTCTATGGGTTGAATGTTTGAATACTTAAATTAGATATAAATCATTGTCAGTTATTATAGTAGTTTACCATCCAGCTGACAGTTCCTTTGGAGAATGTGAATGATTAGTTCTGATATTAAGGTTTTTGGCTCGAGACCTATCGTCCCGAGAACTAGGCTGAAAAGAAGATGAGAACCAACAGACACAACAGAAGGACGGAAAATAGCCAACATGAAAGCAAACATAATGGGAGAAATGGTTCAGGAACATCAGTGCTTCATATTAGCCCGCAACCACCTAGCCCGTAGAAAAGAGAGCATTGTTCAAGCACTGAATGACCGAATCGCCATTTGTCAGCCCGGATGTGGTGCACACAAGAGCAGCACCAGTCGCAAACGGCCCCAATGCCGTCACGCAGAGCGGCAGGTCCACCGCCAGCGCCACCGCATCGTCGCCCCCGAGATTGAGACAGGCCTGCGGCAGCGTCGAGATACACGTGGCGCTGAGCGCATTCTCCAGGCAGGACACGATCGAGGAGCCCGTGGTCGTCACGCTGACGGCCGTCGTGGCGAGGCACGTCGCGGCGTTGCCAACAGCGAACGCGCCGAGAGCCGCGGTACAGGCCGGTATCGCGGGGATCAGGGCCAGACCGTCAACGGTCGAGAGGGACTCGCACGGCGCCGGGACCGTGGCGCAAACTGAAGGGGTAGCTGTCGGCGCTTGTGTCGGGCAGAGCGCGGGGTTGGTCACGGTAACGACCGAGGGAGCCAGGCCGAAGGCGACTTGGAGACATTCGAAGACGCTTGAGCCCTGGGTGAGGGCGCTGATGGCGCCGGTGGCGAGACAGGTTGCGGCGGTGCCGACGGCGAAGGGGCCGAGGGCCGCGGTGCAGAGGGGGATGTCGGTGAGGAGGGCGAGGCCGTTGGAGGTTTGTAGGTTGACGCAGGCGTCGGGGAGGGTGGTTGGGCAGCTTGCGGCGAGGGCGTTGGTGACGCAGTTTGCGATGCTCTGGCCTGTGGTTGTGAGGGAGATTGTGGTGGAGAGGCAGGTGAGGACGTTGCCGGCGGCGTAGGGGCCGAGTTCGAGGGTGCAGGCGGCGATGACGGGGGCGAGGGCGAGGCCGTTGGTTGAGGAGAGCTGGGCGCAGGAGTCGGTGAGGGAGACGCTGCAGGCGGAGGCTGTGGCTGAGGATGTGACGAGGCAGCCTGTGAAGGTGGATGATTGGGAGGTTTGTGTGGTTGGGGTTCCGGGGAGTGTGGTTGAGGCGGATGGGGATGCTGAACTAGACGATGATGGAGAGGAAGTCGTGGATGAGACACTGGCAATTGTCGAGGTTGGAACGGACGACGAGGAGACTTCGGAGGTAGCGGAGGTTGGGGCGGTACTCGAAGCCGAAGTAGTATCCAGAGTAGAAGAAGCCTCTGAAGTTGAAGACAGTTCGGAAGCGGAGGACGCATCAGAAGTAGAAGGAGCATCAGACGTAGAAGAAACTCCTGGCGTAGAGGAGACCTCAGAAGAGGAGGAAGCTTCAGAAGTGGAAGAGATTTCAGAAGTGGGAGAGACCTCGGAAGTAGAAGACACCGTAGAAGTTGAGACTATCGCCGAGGTTGAGGATGATTCGGAGGCAGATGAGGACTCAGAGGTTGTCGTTTTAGATGCCAGGGTAGAGGTTGACGTATCGGTGTTTGGCAAGGCAGTCGATGACGCTGCGGCCGTTGGTACAAGGACAACAACAGCCCCGACAGTGCCACCTCCCGAAGGAAAGACTGTGGTAGTCGTGGTGACTGATCCATCATAGCCGCTCGTCAACGTCGAGTACGATATTAGACTCGGGTCCAGAATGACAACTGTTCCCGGTTGGCCGGAGACTGAGGGAGGAATCGTCGAGGTCAGAGTGACTGAGCCGGTGTATGCGCTGGTTACTGTGGTGAAGCTTGCCGCTGCTGGAGTTGATACGGCAGTGGGTTCCAGAATGACGATGAATCCGGCGGTGTTGGTGCCTGTTGGCGGTATGGTAGAGGTGGAGGTCAATGTGCCGTCGTAGCCGCTGGTGATGGTGGTATAAACAGCAGGCAGAATGGTAGAAGCGGGAGCTGAGGTTGTTGCTGCGGGACCTTGGACGAAGATTATGGTTGCTCCTGGCTCTCCATTGGGGCCTGAAGGTAGGACCGAGGTTGAGGTAGTTGAGCCGGTGTACGTGCTGGTGAATAATCCGCCGAGAACTGGGGCGCCAGTAGGAGATGCTGATGATGAACTTGGAACAGACTCGGCAAAGGTACCGGGTGCCGCGCTTGTGGGGGCCAGAACGATGACAGTGCCAGTGCCATCTGCTCCGTTGGGCGGGACCGTAAAAGTTGCTGCCACACTGCCTGTGCCGGGGGCCGTAAGAATGGTGAATGGACCAGTGAACTGACTGGCCGTTGTTGTCGGGTACAGGATGAGTTGGGTGCCGGTAGCATCAGTTCCAGCCGGTGCTAGGGAAAGGGTGTTGGTGAAGGTACCGGTCCAGACGCCGCTTTCCGTCACAAAAGGCCCGGTGAAGATGCTGGGGGCAGGAGTAAGGACGAGCTGAGTTCCGATAGTGTCCGTCCCGGATGGAGGGAGAAGCAGAGTCGTGGGTGTCGTGCCGGTGTACGCCCCGGTCGCTGTCACGTACGGCCCAGTGAAGGAGGTGATCACGGGACTGGGTGTCAGCACCAGTTGAGTTCCGACAGTATCGGTCCCAGACGGAGGCAGTGCCAGAGTAGTCTGTGTGGCGCCGGTGTAGGGTCCCGAGAGCGTGACACAAGGCCCGGTGAAAGACGGAGGAGTAGACGTGGGGCGGAGGACCAGTTCGGTTCCGACTGTATCAGTGCCGGCGGGAGGCAAGATGAGAGTCGTCGGGACTGTACCGGTCCAAGCGCCAGTAAGTGTAGTAAATGGTCCAGTGAAGGTAGTAGTGGGAGGCGTGATGGTGGCAGGGTCGATGAGGTCCGTTCCGGTAAGTGCAGGTCTCGTGATGCCCCAGGGGTCACTATCACCAGTCTTGAATGGGCCCAGTCCCTCGTACCAGTTGGGATCGGCTGGAACGCAGATGATCTTCGTTCCGTTGACGCCGTCTCCGAGAGGAGGAAAGACTAGAGTAGTGGGTTCGGAACCGGGAGGGCCATCTCTAAAGAGAGTGGTGCAGGGGCCTTCAAAGACCACAGATGGATGGCTGTTGGTTTGAGTGAGTAAAGAGTCACATTGAAATAAAATTAGCGAAAAGCAGCTGACTTACAGAGTCGACGTGAACGTCGTGGTGCTCTGGACAACGAAGTCGGACACAAGCACCGTAGGAGCGTTGGTCACAGATACAGCTGTGCCAGCAACATCGATGACAGTGTTGTGGCAGACGGCAGCGCTGAGATGTACGGGAACGTGATCGACCACAACAACCTCCTGAGTGATTGCTCCTGTATTGTCAGCCGACGAGCAACCTTGAGCTCCGGATGCCAGCCAAGGCAGTGCGGATAAGGCGCCCAAAGCGACATGAGACCGCCGGGAACGCATGATGACAGTGATGGTATAATTGAAGATGGAAAGCGAATGTGACTGATTGTGACGATTTTAGAGAGTCGTCCAAGAAGATGATGACTGAACGAGTGTGCTTGGTTGTTTCTCTTCTGTAGACCCGGGCCCGAAGAAGACTTTTATGTCTCCTCAGATGGCGAGCCTCTTCCGCAAGGCTGATCTAGACCTAGAAACAGCATTCCTGAAAATCAATCTTATCGAGGAAGGTTTACTGATGAGCCCACATTGGTAATTGAAGTCGTGGGCAGGAACGCATGCAGTCGATAGGATTCATGAAGAGTGGGTACCGCCGAATCAGCATCAATGTACTTGGTCCACAGACAACATGCTCTCTCACACATGAATTAGGTGTCCATCATGGAATAATACACCTTGAGGTAATTTTGATGTTCCGCTTTCAGCCATAAACAATTGAACTTGAGTGAACCAGCTGAAGAAGCTACAGGCATTGAACGGAATGGGCCAAGATTCGGTGATCTTGTTGAATTTCCCGTCTACTTTCGAGTCAGTAATCTCGCCTTCAAGATGCCCAATGGTACGATGTTCAATATTGTGATGAACGCAAACGGCTTTTGGATCATTCAGATTTCCTTCTTCACGAGGAGAATTTGGTTTGATTGCTGGAAAAGATGAGGGAAGCTCTCAGCAGCACAAACGCATGGAAAGGCTAAGATTCGAACTGAGTCATGCTTTCTGCCCACAAGATGTTTTCTTCGGCATTTTGATCAAGAACTGATGTTCAGTGAAAGTGGAAAGAGCCACTTCCACGGAGTATATAATGAACGCGAGCGTGGTCACCCCATCACACTGCTTCTTCTCTCGTTATCCCCAACCTCCCTGACATCTTCAGTATTACTCACCGTCACTCGTTCAAAACTCCCATCATGCGCTCCACCACTTTGGCTTTGTTGTTCCCTGTGGCCCTCGCGGCCCCTCGCGCAAGCCCGAACGAACAGGGCTGTGAGCTTACAATGACCTCGATTCCCGCAATCACACACACGTTTCTCGCCCCAATGAAGACGTTCGTGGTCAACGCGGCCCAGAGTGACGGGTGCCAGTTGCATCCTCTTATACCGTCTACAGTTCAGTCCTCTCCCGCAGGCCCAGCCACCACCGGCCAACCCAGCACCAAGGGGCTCCCAGGCACCTGCCAGGGCCCGCAATGCCAATCAATCAACAGCTTTACCGATGAGGCCGTTGACAGTGTTGCGCAGACTTCTCCCTGCACAAACTGCGTTGACCACCCGGCCACTCGGCCGACGGATGCCCCCGGCCAGAATGCTCTTCCCTCTACGCCCCTTACTGGTGCAGGGGATGAGGGCCACCGCCAGGGTCCAACAACTAACCCCACCAACATCCACTCCGGCACTCCCAGCCCACATTCTTCTTCCGGAGCTGTGCAGCAGCCCAAGAATCCCGGACAGGACGGCACAGATGGAGACGCATCTGTACGACCTACGCAGGGTATCTCCATTGTTGCGGGTCCGTCGATCGGAATCGAAAAGACGAGTCAGCCAACATCGACATCTGGCGTTGCAAATGCCCTCACGACCAAACCCTCTGTAGCTGAATCTGAGCCGGGTTCTGCTACAAGCAACACTACGGTTTATCACAACTCTGTTTCGTCCTCCGTTGAGACTTCGGTCTGGTCGACGTCTGCCAGAGGCAATCTGAGCCAGCCAGAGCCAACTCGCGTGCAAGTCTCCTCCGCCTCCGCTTCTCGCGGCATCGGAAATCTCTGGAACGTACATGCCCTACTGTACTCGGTCGTACTCATGTTGGCCGGTACACTGGTTTAATCAATGAGACTTCTTCTGCGAAGCCTTCGCCATAACATCGAATCAGACGACTGGGACTCTGGATTTTGTTATCGGTCTATCTCAAGGCGGGGGAAAACGCACTTTGTAATGCATTATTCGCCTATCACCCATTTCTTTCGTAATAATGTCAAATAATATGCTGCATTTTCTTCGCCGTGTGTGTCACGCGTTCAATGTCTCTACAATGAGAAAAACATCGTCACCAGTCTTTTACCCTTAGCCTTCCCTATTCGATGCATCGTATTTAATGGCTGAATTTAATGCTTGATCGTGTCTTCAATACCGGCTCATTTACCGATCATCTCCCTACCTTTTGTGGCATTGACCTTGGCCGAATAGAGGCATCTCCCAGCATCATTGGTGGGGCGATATCCAACTCTGCATACATGTAAATTCTCAAGAAAACGGGTCCATTTCATCACCACCCCCCTTGCCCTACGTCCACCTCATGCCCCAGTCATTTTCCTGTTCGAGCAGAACAATCTCAGAAGCTCTTGGTACATGATCATATCAACTCCGAGTTCTTCTCCGGATGTCGGTACTGTCAGCACCACTGGCCCCCAACCCTTTCGAGCCCGGTGGAGACAGAGAAGCTGTCAGCTGCGAAGCTCGAGACATGTCTTACCAGTTAGAGCTGAAGAAGCAGGGCTTAGAAGACCGTTGCACTCGAGCTAAAGCCACTTGAGTGTGAATATTTAGCCGAGCTAGGCTAGTAGCCGCCATTTAGCTGGATGGGTTAGCGCCTCGTTAGCGCCAGTCTGGGTTGGTCCAAATACACGAGCACAAGCAGATCAAGTTCCCGATTCCGGACCAGATCGTGGGCAAAATAATAGGAGTGGGGAACGCTGCAGCACCAAACCAATGCCCCGGTCTCTGCTCGGTAGAGCAATAGCCGAAGCTGAAAGATGGATGTCTCGAAGCTCAGCTGCCCAGGCAGCGACTGCTCTCGGACTGCGGATAGGTGTATATGATCACTGTAAATTGTAGTCTCAGTGGTTCTGTCTGCGGAGACTGAAAGTGTGGAGAAGATGGAAATCTCATGATGCTATGACTATCCTTGCTGACACAGGCAAACAGCGACTCATAGACTTTCAGGCGGAGGTAGAATTAATATCGACTATTTTTTTGTTTCTCCAAAGCTCGTGCATCCACAGATATATGTTAGCCGTCAGTACCGTATTCATAGGTCAAAAACATCGCTCTCAAACAAAACGTCGTTCGGTGACTTTAGTGAGTTACGAGGTCTCAAGTTTTATTTGCGGACCTGTACCGCATCGGTAGTGGTAGGGTAAGTCATGAGCGTGTGTCGAAAATCAACTGAAACCCATTCTGCAATGCGTTTTGCACTTTGTCGCTGCTCACCATTCTCTGAAGTTGGCACCAAGTGTGAACCGGAGACCGCGCTTAAGTCTGGTATACGATGCTTCTGGACATCTGTCCTGGGCCTGATATTCACTCGAAAACAAATCAACTAGATGCCAAAAGCCTCTCTGGGTGATCCTGCAACTCAGCAACATCAAACGTTCTGCTGCAGAGAGTATCTGAGGTGTACCTTCTGACTCGACATCGTGAGCAAGGGGCACTGGATGCGCCAAATCGCAATATGGGCGGGGTGCAGTTGTGGAGCGTCGATGCGCAGCATACCGACAAGTATCCAAAAAAGGCAGCGCCATCGTGGGCTCTCGGAATATTGTGATACTAGCGACTTCATAATTACTTGACTGCGACGTGTATGGCTTGAAGCTGTGGGCTATCATCATTTCTCGGCCGAGTCCATTGAAGCCTAGATAGACTGGCCTCGATGACTGCTGACTTCTATGCACGCATTGAACTTGAAGAAAACAATCTAAAGACGGATGATTTGAATGCATAGTCATATTTGCTTCCTTATCGAACGTCAGCCCTAGGTGTTTGAATAAATTATTATGACGTTCCTAACGGAATGTCTCGTACAGCCAAGCTATGCAGACCTCGCTGTGCTATATGCGGCAATGAAAGATATATCACCTAACCAGGAAATTCGAACGGAGTATCTTCCATAGCGTCCCTTGTGTTAATGCGCAGAAGGGCTTCCATATTCGGATCTTTGAGTGCATTGCAGTCGTCATTATGCTTCTTGCGATCCTTTCCAGCTTTCATACACTCCTGGCAAATCTTTTAGCACGACTGTCGTTCCAAGAAAATTGGGTATGTAGCCGGGAATTTACCTTTCCGCAATAAAAGTACCAGGGACAGCTATCACACTGTTTCATTCTTTTCCCTTCAATACCACAGGCATGGCATCTTTTAGTCACGCCTTCTTCGTCCAGTGTTTCCCAGTAATCACAGAGGGCCTTGTTCATACTGAGCACCCGATCCAGCTTGAATGGAAATGCCTGATGAAGTCAATGGATGAGCCATGTCTCGGCTCCTTGCTCTTCTCAAGGGCTCTTGCCAGGGCCCACTCACATGGCAAGTCTTTAAATCCGCAACCCGGACACCCTTCGTGCCATCCACAAAGTTGACCCTCTTTGCATACACCACCGCGATGGTGTATCCAACCTTGAACTGACTCGGCGTGAAGCGAAGACCTTTGCTGAGGTCAAATCCAATGATGAAATTGTCTCCGTTGCGATCATGGCAGACTAGACAGAACGGATTACCAGCCGATGTAGACGCGGCATCAATCTCGGCGAGAAGGCACCACGTCTCCCCCTCCTCATAGATGGGCTGGCCGAGGTGGTATTCTGACTGCAGCTGAGCGAAGGCTGGAAAGAAATAGGTATCGGTGAAGCTGGCGGGTGGCTCGAAGTCCATATCCCCTGCATCGCTCGCCGGAGCGGGGCTCGATGTCGTGGAGTCGGACATGATTATGGAGATCTTTACCGAGAACTACAGTGCCGGGGTTAAGTGAGATATGAGATGAGAGAAAGTCGTCCAGGATTCTTGGAAGACAGGAAGAGAGGGGTCAGCCCTCAACTGTGGCGTCTCTGGCGGCGTTGCACAGGATCCCAAGCTTGTGGCGTTCGTCGAACAGGTTGCAATCACATCAGCAATGGACTAAGGAAAGATGGAATATGAGCTTGGCATGTTTCTAAGAGCTTCAAGATGAAAACCTCAGCCCGGATGATTGCAAATTGGTTGGTGCCCGTGGAGACAGCCGCATGCGGTGGAACGGCGCTTCTCATCCCCTTGCATTCTTGGGACTGTCGGCCGGAAGAGGATTGGGGTGGTTTACCAGCTGAACACGTCTTGGCCGAGAGGGGTCGAGCGGCTTCAGATGAGTCAGCGCCAACCCGATTCCCCATCACCAAGACTACGAGTAATGGTTCCCTCTCGGCAATTGGTTAGGTGTGCATGAAGAAATACAGAATCTGGAGTTTAAGAAGACAGAAGAACTTCAGATTTATTATGTGCTTTGTTCTAGCCAGTCTCTTGAATGCATCAACTAACGCTTACAAAGACGTACATGTATTCCCACAAAGCATGTTTCACCAAGATTGCTTGCTGCTCTTCTCATGATCTGATTTTGAAAAGCAGGCATGCTATGAGCTTTCGAATCATGATGTTCCCGCATCACTGGTTTGGCGGGACCTTTTTCCATTGCTGTCCCCGCCTTCCATGCCATTCCTGTTGTCATGATTGTCTTGCCCATTGTAACTCTGTTCTCCTTCCTGTGCCATAGAAGACTGGTTCATTCTGTTACTACCGGCTTCGTTAGAATTATAAGTGCCTGAATAGTTCAATTCGGATCGTCCTTGAAAGCTCTGGAGCAAACTCAACCAAGGGAGCCATGCAATCAGATACCTGACAGGTCTTCCTCTACTTTTTGCGAAACCATCCGCTTCTCCAGAGTCATGTCTGAAAGTAGACTTGCGTCTCATTGCAGGAGAAAAAAGCAGAAACATGTCCCTGACATGCATTGTGCGCGCAGGGAGCGGTGTTGGAGGCGCAGAAAGGGACGGGTCAATGTCGTCGGGTGATTGCCAAGTTTCCAGAAGGAGATAACAGGTTCGCACAAAACCGAAAGCGCCAATCAGCAGAGGAAGCAGCTGTGCTGGAAGGCTAATCTCATTGTCATGGCCCGCGCCTCCCAGGACCGGAGCAACATGGTTGAAATTAAGGGTGCATTCGACGAGAACCATCGAGTAGAGTAAGAAGGCGAGGTTGAGCCAGCGGAGCCATCGAAAAATGGTTTCCAATCTGTTCCATAGACATCAGCATGGCTCCATTGGCTCTTTCAGGTGGATCATAAATGCGCACTTACTCTCCGTACTTGAAGCCTGTCGCAAAGTGCAGGCGTGCAGTCTCAGCCCACCGCCTTTCCCTGTACAAATGCAGCATTTTCCCCAGCCGTGCCCAAGCTGCGATAACGGAGGCGAGAAGCATGATGCCGTAATAGACAATGCATCCAATACACATTATAATGTAAAAGATGCGGATTCCACCACCAGCTCGAACTTTGGCAAACATGAAGGTATACAAGGTCGCGCATTCCGGCGGGTTTGGTTCCTCGACGATTTCTTGTTCCGTGCCTGGGTGCACAAGCCCATCGGTGACGCCAAACATCCAAAACCATAGCCCAAAAGCGCTTATCATTAGGCTGACAATAAGTCTCGAGTGTGTTCCGAAACCACCAAAGAAGCGGATCCCTTGAGGTCCGTTGTCAAAGTACTGCCGCGTCCGATATCCCCAGATGCTGAGGGTTCCGAAGAGAAAGCCGCCGCTGAGATGCATCAGGACTAGTCCATCGATACTGGTGAGCATGCTATTGGCGCTGCACTTTATCATGGCGATCAGGATCACCAGTAAGAAGATGTTGTTAGTGTCAGATGCGCCGGCAATCTCGGAGGGTAGAAGCGTGTTTGCGATGTAAGCATTGGCCCAGGCAAAGTAGATGCCAAGTCGGACCCCAAAGCCATAGAAGTCCGCTGCGCCATCAGTCTCACATTCGAAAGAATCATTAGCCCGGGCAAGCAGCCCCGAGTGGGCTTGGGTGATCGGCATTAGGAGGGAAATAGGGGCTTCGACGTCGAGAAGGGGTTAGAATCGCGACAGATTGGCATCAGCATCAAGGCAGCATCGAGGGAAGCCTCAGAGATTCAGAAGAAACAAAAGAGAAGAAAGGAGAAGACGTAAATAGAATGCAGATATACTTATATTGCTTGTCTTGGTGTATGTAAATACGCACCAGTTTCGAACTCATCGGCTTCAAAGTAAGATTGCCACGTGATGACACTTTGCGTCTTGTTAGAGGGAGGAATAAACATTTATTGATGGGTCAAGTGTTTGTATCCCTCCACTTTAGGGTGTTTGTAAAGCAAGGCTAGCAAATGATCATTGCAGTAGTTGCACCCTCGCCAATTCTGGCATTGCTGATCGCTTACTTTGCATACAGACCCCAACGGCGGACAAGATCTCACCCTCCCATCTGGTTGGTTGATTATAACACACCAACTTCTAACTGTCTGTACTACCTGTGACGTAAGATCTTGAATATCCAGCGATGGACTGCAGATAGGTGGCTTGCAGCTGAAGCGACAAATTAGGTTGTATCGGTATGATGACTTCCATTCGCTGTAGGGGTGGACCTCGGCCCATTAGTCGCCACGTAAATCGTCATCGAAACAAACACTACTCTGAAAGGCATCGAACCAGGTTGTTAGATCTCTGAGTAAGAGTTCAGATTTCACAATATGTTAATTCGTCACAGCTCGGGAAGCGCGGGTCTTATGATATGGGTCAATTTCAGACGGCCGGCGTCATTTGTTGTCTGAGGACCATGATTTTGAATAAACAAATGAAGGTATCTTCCACGCTAGGTAGACCCACTCATTTCTGCCATCAGTTTCCATCGTAAGCGTGGCGATATCAAAACGCCTTAATCGTTGCGGCCGAGCGCTTGATCACGCCGTCGGCCTCATCTACTTGCAACTGCAGCGCAAGAGAGTCCGCCCCAGAATACTTGCCCTTTTGTTCCCAGAAGAAGTCATTGCCAGTCTTTGTTGTCGCGCGGAAGGTGGCCGTGACGTCCACATCCATTTTGAAGCTGGTATAGAAGGAAGAGCCGACGCAGTACTTCTTGGCAGGGCACTTGAGATTGACAGTGGAAGACTTGGTCAACGTTTCGGACTGGGTGTCCTCCTCAGTGGTGGTCTTCCCAACCTGCCAGTTGAACTCAGTGGACACCTTGGACTTCCCAATGAAGGGGATGCCGGCCTCGGTCTCGACTCCGATTTTGCCGCCGACAGCCCACATATTCGCAACGCTGACTGTGTGAGACTTTGTGACCGCGTCCATGGTCATGATAGTAATCATCTGCTCTGTGCTGGAGTTGCGGTTGTCGAGGATCTGAGAACCAACGGTGACGGTGGTACCGGGGCCCGAGGGCATGATGTTGTCGGTGAAGCCAGAATAGGCCAGGTTGCTGATGCTGACTGACTGCAGATCATCGATAAAATCCCATCCGACATGACCAATAAGCCCGATATCGCACCACTGAACGCGGATGCGACCAAGAATGCCAGACCCAACTGGGACTTTGGTCATCGGTGGCGGATCACGGAGAGTCTGGGCCATAGCGGAGTAGGTTTTGCCAGTTTCGGTAGTGAAATTGAAGCCCAAGAAGGTCCCAGCTTGCTCCATAATCCAGAATTCTTTGATGCGCTCATTGTCCTCGAAGGTGAAGGTGCCGGCATCTGCGTTGCCATCTAGCTTCTGAAAGGCGACGAACCATATGAGCGTTGAGTGGTCATGAGTGGCAGCTCTTTTTAAAGTAACTTACACTTGTGATTGAAGTCGTATTGCCTCCAGAGGCTGTAATGTTCATAGCGCGAATGTTGGCGGCGCCCATGAACACCTGCAACGCCTGCAGAGGACCGTTCAGGGTCTCAGAATGACAGTCTGTAGGGTTGTTGTCGATGAGGTTAATGTCGCCAACATCAACAGACACAAACGCGTCACTCGTAGCTATGGTGAGCGTGTTTCCAGTCACCGATGACGCCGCTTGCCTCTTAGCTCTACTTGGTTTCGATGACGGCGTACGTCGATTGGATGCGGTCAATGAATCTTGCAGACGTGCCAGAGCGGCGTCATCGAGGGGCCCATGTTGTACAATATTGGGTGCAATCGTCTGCAAGGAAGCCGGAACGGTTATTCTGTTGGGTTGGGGAACAGGAGAAGTGTGAACCAAAGCTGGGAGGAGAGTTGTGCCCAGCACAAGTTGCTTCAAGGAGAGAATAGAAAGCATTTTTTTCAAAAGAAAGACTTTACAAAAGACTGACTGATTCCAAAAGAGAAGAAAAAGAATGACCTTTTTGAACGTGAGGAAGGAATGATTCAAGACATGGTCTGGCTGTAAGAATATAATGTAGACGCAAGCCAGTTTTATAATTGATCCTAAATCTTTCCACGATGTCAACGTTGGGTGCTGATATCACCCGAAGCCGGCCCCAACAAATCATTTACCCACCATGAAGTCTCCAATAGACGCAGACCCCCACATCGCCTCCAGCCAGATCATATTGTCCATGTAATCAGGAGAGAACGCATGTAGTAACAATAATGAGTATTAAGACCAGACTAAGATTGTTGTGGTACCGACAGGGTTGGGTTTATTTGCGTGCCGAAAGACCGCTTTTGTCTGTTAGACAAGACCACCTTTGGGAATGAAATGCTAAAAAGCGGCGGTCATGATATGGCTGGGAGGTGTTGGCGGTAGAGGCTATGGGGTCATAGAGGCTTGTCTTCTATTAGAGAGACCGATGTATGCTGGTCAACTACACCAGACGAATCAAGCGAGAGAAAGGCATCAAATACGATCCAATCCGGCTGTCACGTTGAGGGTAATGTCACGCATTCTAGCCCAC